TTCGGCCTTTTAACAAAATATCTAAAATGAAAAAACAGAAATACATTTTTGATATTAATAATTTATTACTATGCGATAAGTCCAGATTATTTTTGTGTATCTTCTGCCCCCTGTTATCAGGTGTATCTGATTGTGTTCAATAGGATTTAGAGCAAAGTTTTTACCATTAAATTATGCAAAAGGTGTAAAAACATTTCAGAAACCGTATGAATCAAATATGATATATTTGGCATTACAGGGTTAAGGGGGATTTATTATTACATGGATTAAATAAACTGAGCTGGACAGAGACTGACCATGTTAAATTTCTGATTCTGATTCTGATTTTATTCGTATAACTAATGAACAAAGCAAAGAATTGTGCAAAGGTCAGAGGTCAGCACCACAATGCAATCCAGTTTTCATTTGAATTTGAATGAACCCTTTAAAGCCTGATCCAAGAATAAAACAAAACAGAAAATTACTTTTTTTTTGTTTGAATTCCTTATTTCGGCCTTTTAACAAAATATCTAAAATGAAAAAACAGAAATACATTTTTGATATTAATCATTTATTACTATGCGATTAGTCCAGATTATTTTTTGTGTATCTTCTGCCCCCTGTTATCAGGTGTATCTGATTGTGTTCAATAGGATTTTGAGCAAAGTTTTTACCATTAAATTATGCAAAAGGTGTCAGACGCAAAACATTTCAGAAACCGTATCAAATATGACACATTTAATTTGGCATTACAGGGTTAAGGGGGATTTATTATTACATGGATTAAATAAACTGAGCCGGACAGAGACTGACCATGTTTAATTTCCCTCTGGAATTATTCAAGTATTTCTGATTCAGATTTTTTTTTGTATATCTAATGAACAAAGCAAAGAATTGTGCTTTTTGTGCTGTTTAACTGCATAGTGGATAATCATTCAAATTAATTATTTCTGGAAATATAGATAAATATAGATTCTATAAATGTGGATGTACTGAAATAGCTTTGGTCCACCAACAAGAGCCAAATCTTATTTAAATTATTAGTATCATTATCAAAATATGAGCACAAAACATTTACCATAAAAACCAGGTTCATGTGATAGTGATGAATGAATTAATTCTGTGTGTTTTGAGCTCATATAGGACTGATATTATCCACAGAAACAGGATTCATATCTGACACAGAAAATATTTGTCCATGGTGCAGTTTTATTGGCCGGTAGCCTCCGTCCACTGTCTCTTGATTAGAGAAATCAATTTAATTGAGCAAACAAACGTCCATTCGGCTGGTTTGCTTTTCAAATTATATTCTTAAAATATTTTAAAGCTCAAATTTAGCCGTCAATAAAATGGAGCTGACTCAGAGTTGAGCCCTGACTTGTAGATTATTTAGACTCTATGCCTAAAACCCAATAAGAACTAGAACAATTCAGTTAAACACAAATGCAAACATCAAGTATTGCTTTTTTAATTAACATTTAATGAAAAAAAGAGATAGTAACCTCTGTTTACCTGTGCTACAATAATTACTACAGTCTATGAGCAGAGATAGTTGGAAAAAAAATCACTAAATGCAACAAAGTGTGAACGTGTGGATTTTTAATTCTATCTGTTTTGCCATTAAACTGAATTATTTTCTTTTAGGTTCAAAATAACCTTTTTTTTT